ATATTAAATTTAAACGCCGTGCTGTGTGCGCAGCGCGAAATCCAATAAATTAGTTCGCATGAATACATTGGGTAGTCTCGCGACACATAGTTTCAATTAATCCGCTCGTAGCTTCTTGCCACTGGAAAGTGTATAGGGCGTCCTCCCTAGCTGCTAATACAAATGGCAGCGTGGCGGTTCCGCGTGAAGAAAATAAGTTGGAAGTGCAGGGGGTGATCTTATCGGGTTCCAAAATTATTTTGCAGACTCTTCTCGGTTTCTGCCCGTTTGAAACTTGGATAAAAGTCGCCTGAATTTTACGCGTCCGTGGTATCGAACCGTTTGAAACATTGGTAATTTTAGCGGCGTTTATAAATATAAACGTCGTTTATTTATAAAGATATTTCGGCATTGCATTAGTGATGCATTGAGAATAGGATTCTCGGAAACGAACCGATCGATTCGCGCAATAACGTCGCGATGACCGAGATATCGCTGTTAGGGCGTGATCTGGTCACGGGACGGAGAGTCAAGCGCGTGAAAAGGGAATGACGGGACGGCTGCTTTTAATCGGAGCAATACGGGACAGGATTCTTAGGCGGCCAGAAAACTGGTCGCGTGAGAATCCTGCGTCCACCTCGATGGTTTACCGAACCATCGAGTGAGACACCAAGTTCTGAAGTCGCGCCGCTAGCATATTATTCCTATTACTTGTTAGTGATTTATCGGTGGTTTCCATGCGGGAATGCATCCGGAAGGAGGAAAAATTGAATGGACCAGCATTTCCGTGGATTCTAGTATGATTCCCAAAGCGATACATATGCTCTCTAAAAAATCAATCAGGATTGTTCACCGTTTTCGGTGATAATCCGCTGATTGACTCTTAGAGAGTAGACAAGTAGCATCGTATATTCCCTTCAGATACACGTCTATTTAATATATTATAGTTTAGATTTATGTAGAAAATATGTACGGCTCGGAGTCAAAACTACAGTAAAGATATTGCGAATGTACATATTTTTGTACACAAGTAAAAAATATAATTTATATTACGTTACATAATATAATAAATAGGGATGTATCTGAAAGCGATACGCGGCGCTACTCGTCTGTGTAACGCTTTGAGGGTCACATTAGAATTCACAAAAAACGCTGTCCACTCAATTTTCCCTCTTTTCGGACGTGCTCCTGTAAAAAGTGATAAATATGTACACAATAAATCTCGCAGTAATTAATTTAACAAAATGTGGCAATCACAATTTATTTAGTTTTTTTGTTCTCCTAAGATTCAACCGGTGAATAAAGTACAAAAAATGTAATTATGTAACTTTGTATTTGTTTAAATTACATCCCTATAGTATTTTTTGCTACGAACTGGGAAATGATACGTTGTAAAATAAATACCATATAATGTGCTAACTTCAATCGCGAGATACAAAAATGAAAATTCCCTTTAAAACGTATTTTACGTTTTAATACTTACGATACTGTGCATTTTATTTGCACGTGCACGTGCTACAGCAAGTCGCAAAATTATCCGCATTTTCTTAATCGTTGGCTTCATGCGATCGATATTTTTTTATATATTGTTTACAGAAAATTGTATAGCGTTTATGGTCGATGAATTTCTAAATAAGTAAACGAAGACACGTGTGTTTTATGTGTGTGTGTGTGTGTGTATTTTGTAGAAAAAGAATTAACGAATTCAGTCGAGACCTGTGGCATATACACACACACGTACACCGATTGCATATTCTATAAATCTGTATTGAATATTGCATTGGATTTTAGCGCATATTGATTATTCAGTGAACGACGACTATTCATCATTCATTCCGCGCCGAAAACTTTAGATGCAAATCTCAGAATCATGTTTCCGGAAACGAAGTGCCAGGCAGTCTTTCGACAGGGTTTTAGTTGTCCGCTGGAAACGACTTGATCACATACTTATATAGCAAACGTTAAATATTGGTGAGAGATTTTTTTCACAAATTTCTCTTTAGACGTAACAAGGTTATATCATTATTTCAATTATTAATAAAATTCTGCAATTCTCTCCTCTCTCTGTTCGATCTACTTGTGGCCATATTTTTCTTTTAAAAATATAATAGTTTGTAATTAGTATGAGTAATATTTTCAAATCTCATGACACACGCATATGTACACATATTTGAATATTTTATGTTAAAAAAAATACTTTTAAAAATGTAAAATCTACAAATATTGTATATTTACAAAAAAATTTGAATATTTTCGTACAATAGAGAAACGATTTTACATAATTAAAACCATGATATATAAGTTTAAATATATTATAAATGTATTTTAACTAAAAAAATCCGTGTAAAAACGAATGAAACAGTAAGATTAAATGTATCTATAATTAAATCAATATTGTGCTAAAGTAAAATTAATTATCTATGCTTCTTTGAAACTTGAAAGCATTATCGTTAAGCTATCGGCTAATATCTTAAAAACTATTAATGTCTTTATACTCTCGTTAAAGGTACATTTTTATTCTTCAAGAATTTGTTTAGTAAAAATTATTTAAGCAATCGATGATAAAGCAATTTGCGTTTCTCTTATCGAACGCATATATTGCGTGTGTAAAATTCATAATTAAATATTTAAAGACACAGAGGAGGGTACATTGATTTATTCGCAATTATTGCCATTATACATTCATCGCGGAAACACTGTGACAAATTTATTAGATAAGATATCCCATGTATAATATATAAGTGTCGGGCCGTAAAATGTCGCTTAATCAATTATTCGCTTCCGTTGAATTATCGCGCTGATAGCTTTCTGAAGTCCGCGCTGTGCTATCTTCCGCTGTGCCACTTTTCGGAATTTTTTTGCCAATATCTGACCGCATTATCAATGCTTTCGCGTTATCATTCTACCACGAATGATGCGTTGCACGAACTTGATAAACGACGATACTGCGTACATTTAATAAACGTACGTCCATGTATCGCTTCCTTTGCAAGTTTACATATGAATTTACCTAATTCTTTGACAATGCGCGTTAACAGCAAGTAGCAAAAGAAGTGAGAGGGATTTAGTCGGAAATAACGCGCGTGTTTCTACGTCGACGGACATAGCCGCATAAATTTTGCGAGAAATACCTGAAAAGATGGAAAACAGTTTTTCCTCGGTAATTTTTGTGAATCATTTTCTTTCAGTGTACACAGAGAAACATTTTCATCGGATTAACCAATTAAATAGTATTTCCTAATCGGACATTTTTCTCAGCGTGTTAGTCGATAAAAGTGGCAGGTTAATACAATACGTATTTAACAGTTTTGGAGGAACGTGAAAACATGTTGGCGCATCAATGTAATTTTTAATCGTATTGAGCGCACGAGCAGCAAAATTAGCGCACAACGATAAACAAGGATGTCACGCGGAAATATCTTTTTCATCAATTTCAAGATATAGAATCGACAAATTTTTACTCTGCGTCCAATGTCCAGGATCGCGTTTCCCATTTACGTATGCAGAACCGATGGCTTAAATGTCAGTGTGGCATATTTTTTGATTTTTATTTTGTCGCGACACGTGTCAACTCCGTACAAATTAATCTACCGCTGAAATTATTGTGAATCTCACATACATATAAAAATGCTTCATTCTAAAAGGCAATATTGTAAAATATTTAAATTTATGATCCGTAGAAGAAGAAAAAGTTGATCGCTCCCTGCCGTACACACACGCGTATTGCTCTTTAAAATAAAACATTTTTTAATGCACGGCAAAGAGCTCGATAGAGATCTGTGTTCGAATCTTGTATAATAAAGTCGCTTGCAGTATTCATAAATGAAAGATACTACGCCTTCAGTATCTTGTATTGATATATGGAAGCTATATTTCTTCTTCATTGCCAATTTTTATGTGTATCTAACGTTTAATCAAATTGAAACTGATTTATCAGAATTATTTCGTTGTAAAACGGAGAAACATCTTCCGAATTTCAAGTCGCAGCATTAGCGGACCGTTCCATCAGTTACTAAACTATTAGAAATTTTGTATTTATTAATTTTTTTACTTAAATAAAAAAAATATCAGGCCAAAACCGATCAAGCAGTCAGACTAACGGGGAAGAATCTTCATTAATTCAAACAAGCTTTAGTTGAAATGAGCCCAGTATTTAACATTTTTTATAAATTTCTCAAGACAGGAATCGATGCATGTAGGTCGAACGAAGTTCGAGCGAATTGTGGTACGTCACGTGTGCGTGATTTAGAAAAAAAAAAAGGAAGCACCAACGTAGAAAACGCGCTGGATTCGCAACGAGATCAGCGGTAGGGCTTTGATTCGCTTCTCTCCTTCTGCCACCGTAGCCGAGTGTCCCATATATAGGCGCACCTTTGCCGGGCTGCGGGCCTTGCAGAATCAGCTACCACCGCGAGTACACCGTCGCGCCAGATGCATCTCGCGTTTACCGCTTCGCGCGTGAAAGCTGATGCAACTTGCTCTCCGAGATCGCTCGACGCCCGAGTAGATCGACGCGAGTTCTTTCTCTCTCCCCGCGAGTGCTCCGATAACTTCCAAGTATCGCGCGAGCGGGATTACAAATATTTACATACAACCATTTGCGCACTCGTCGGATTGACATACGTCAGTGAGATTTCATCAGCAACGCCAGTGATAGACTCGGGGACGGACCTTTGTAGCGCGGCGGGAGTTGTCGTACGAAGATCGCGTCGGCTGTGGTGATCGCGCGTAAAAATTGATTGATCTCTGATAGAAACGGCCCGAGGTTTCCTCGAGCACGTCGCAGGAGTCGTACGCGTAGTGCGTCGAGCGACTTCGCAGCTCGCACGTTTGAACGACATCAGACGAGAAGGAGTTCGTCTCCTCTCTGTCTCTTTCTCTCGCGATGATGCAGCTCGACGGCGGGAGCTCGACGCGGCCCTCGGACGTTTCCCGGTGCACGTGCATCGTCCTGTTGCTGCTCGCGTGCGCGACCGTCCCTTCGGCTGATGCCGTCGCTCATCCCCGTACCAACATTTCAGACACCGAGGAATGCAAGGACACGGAGTTCAAGTGCAGTAACGGCAGATGCATACCCAATATCTGGCAATGCGACGGCGACCGAGATTGCCCGGACGGCATTGACGAGGACAGCGCTGTCTGCAGTAAGTCACAATTTCTTGCGATGCATGCGGAGCGTATAAACGTCGCGACACGTCGTGGATCAATTGGATCCGCGTAACGTCCGTCGAGAGAGATCTGGACCGAGGGAAAGACGCTGTTGGCTCCCCGAAGGATTTAACGAGGCGAGGGAGAAAGATCGGAGCTAACACTTGAACCGGTAGTCTTTGCCTATTTTCAAAACTTCGATTTGGCTGAGTCGCGAGTTATTATCGCGCGCAGGCATAAGATTTGATAGCGCGAATAATTAACGGGGAAAGGTAACTTTTTAAGAAGATTCATGCGCGAACGGAAGTTTCGACCTCGGTGCTGATCTCTTATTTAACGAATTAATATGTGCGAGGAAAAATTAATCGGAGAACTCTGGAGAATACAATTGTGGAAGCTCGGGATCTTGCGCTCGTATTTTATTATATGGAATATTGAAATCCGTCCGATGGCCCGCGCTTTCGCGATTGCAGCGGCGAGGAGGGCGTCCCGAATGCAGAAAGTTTTAATTGGCATTACGGCGGTGATTAAGAGAAATTTTTTTACATAAAAATTAAATCAAATTAAATTTAAAGTTAATTAACGCTATATTTAACCGGCAGCTCGCGAGCGTAGATTAAATATTTGCCGAGGTAAGGTAAACGCGAAATTAATATCTCTCCGCTGCCGCCCAATAAGGTATATCTGTTGGCGTTCACGTCGCTTTGAGAGAGCGACGCCTTGTACAAGTTGCACACGTACGCGGAATGCGAATTTCGTAATTTATGCCATCGCTGCGTGGTGTAAAAATCCTATTAATTGCCTCTTAACGTTTGATGAAATTTCACTTTACAAAAGCGGGGCGCGCGCGCTACGTAAAAGCCGGAGACTGCGAGATCCGCGCGCGTTTCTTAATGAAAGAATTACGCGCGCTATTCGCTCGCGGTTTTTTTTTTCTTTTTTTTCTTCACTAAGGTATATAACTCTTCGGACACCGAGCCTAGAAGTCGGCGTGCCCAGCTACAACGTTATCGCCGTCGCCGCGTCAAAAACGGCCGTGTACGAATATTTAGCCGAACACAGTGGATCCCGGGCGGCAAAAGGTCCCGGTATGTGAAAGTGCAACTTTAGAGACCGGTTTTTCACGCAGGTGAAGCGTACTGACATACAGGGTGTCCCTCGCTAACGAGGTTATTTCCTATTTGGAGGGTACCTCGATCCCGGTATTCTACATTCCCGGTGTTATCGCGCGATTGCCGGTCTGATGAAATCCCGCGCGGATGTTGAGGCGCATTTATGTTGTTTTTTTCCCCCTTTTTTCCCATCAGAATTGTAAATCGCCCGGCATTCCGATTACAGTCGCACAGCGCGACATTTGCATATCTCCACCCGCGGTGCGGAACCGCGAGGCAGAAGGGCAGCATTGATGTTAATCGATCGGTTTAATCGTATCCCAACGATCCTTGAAGGTCGCAACGGCGATCGTAATTACATAGTGGAATGCGCGTTTAATATTAATTAGCGCGCGTTGACGCAAAGCCCTTTTGACCGATATAATTACGCGTGCATTTAATCATTTCAATTGTGATGTAAATTGCGCCGCAGATCATTAAAAATCCACTTAAATTATAAAGTAGGGAAACGCGATCGAGCTTCGTCATTAATGCATACTGCAATTTCAGTAAAAAAAAACAAAAAAAAACAAAAAATCGAAGAAACTATGATCCTGAGAAACTAACAGTCACCGTCCCGTCGTTTCCTCGGAGAGTCCGCACACGTGCCGGGCGGCTCGCATCATTTTCCACAATTTAAGAAACGAATTACGTTAACGAATTATTTTATCCCGCGCGAATTTCGTGCTTCACGTTAATTAACGGGCATTCCAAGTGAATAGCATAACTGCATTCCTCGGATAATTTCGAGTGGAATTTGTTCCTTAACAGAATTTTCACCTGAAGTTGCAAAAATGTGTAATGTCGAAAGTAAGAGAGACGCGATTAACGGGTCTCTCCGTCATTTTTTTTTAAATTCAAAACTGGCGCAAATTGGCAAGAGAATCCGGAAGGAGGTGCCTTCGATAAGGAGAGCAGCCTGTATATTATTACGACGTTCCCCGTGACGTTCGCGCAGCGTTATATTATAATAAAGCGAGAAATTACTTCGGTGCTAACGCGTTCAGTTGTACGCGAAACGCGATCGCAGGCGTACAACTCTTTTATTCGAACTTGAAGCTGAAAGCAATGGCATGCTAATGTATCGAATTTCAAAGGTTAAAGGTTGGGTCGGTTTGCCTTCTAAATCGGACGTTATTATACATGATAGCGTCGAAACATCTATACTTCGCTTTTGACGTTCAGTACTTTACCAACATTTCGCATGTTACACGAACGAAGCATCGTTACGGATAGGCTAAACGTCTGCTTTGAACGCTTTTGTAACTTGCGATAGATTTCTTGGTAGAAAAGTACAAATACAGAATTTTCTATCGTAAATTTTTAACATATTTTCTATATACTTCGATATTTCATTTAATATTTATGTGTGTGCATTTTAATATATATTTTATATTACGATTTCCATTCATTACACGTTTCCTTTCTTGTATCATGTGACACGTAACATAATAATTACGGAATTCTATTCTTGCACGAATGTCACATCGTTCAAAATTAGTTTTAAAGAATGAAACTGCCATTCGCTTAACAGACACAAAGTACGAATTAAAGAGAATAAAAAAACACGCCCGTACTCATATTCCCCGTGAAATGTAACGGTATTAAAATGCAAAACTGAAGTCTTTTAAGTTGCACAGGATCGCAGGAAATCGATATATAACAAAATAATGAGCTGTAATATTAGAAGAATCGGAATCGCAGAGTTTTAAACAACGTCTTGAGCTTTCACGCGTATCTTTTAGACGACTTTCAGGCGTGAGTCAAAATTTTTATTCGAGAAATTAGAGGTAGAAGTATCTCGCAAGGTTGCAAAGGTGGTTAATCGAGAATATTGAACTTAAACAAAAGAATCGAGGCCGTGCAAAGGAACAGAGTTTGAATGCAGCCCGGGCGAGTGCATCCCGAAGCCGTGGACGTGCGATCATCAGGCAGATTGCTCCAACGGTCTGGACGAGAAGGACTGTCACAGTAAGTCGCGCGGATAAGCGGTTTTAGCGTAGGTGTTACCGGAAAGCAGCCAAGGAGGGACGAGATCAGCCGGAAAGCTACAGGAACAAATGACAAAGCGCAAATTGCGGAATCTCGGATTGCATCCTTGTGCCGTCGACACGTTCTATCGCTTGACGTGCGAAGGTTGGGTTCTCGGCTGATCAATCGCATGCATTCAGCCGGGGATTAATAAATAATTTATCCGATATAGAATAATTTTGGGAAATTGATGAGGTGATAACAAGCGCGATAGAATCGGCCAAATGAATAAGGATTAATAGGATGTTTATCGGACACGATTATTATAACTTTCGCATCCATCTGACTAGTTCATTAATTGAAATTTTTAATATTTTCATAGAACATTGCTTTTATGCCGTTTAGTGATAATTTTTAATAACAGGTGATGGTAACTTTCAAGAAATAAAATAACAATACGTTTGCAACGCGAGAGCAAAATAATAAAGTCGATCTTTAAATTGGAACACGCCAGATTTAAAAGTCTTCGTGACCTTTTTACATCCTTAGCGAAAAAAAATTCTGTAAATAACTACGAAAAATGACTTGAAATAATTTGTAGAAATTTTTATATCTTCGTTGAAACATTATTTTTTTTTGTAAAGAAATATCTACTAATAGTACCACCAGAAATAGTACCACAAATTACAATGTTCTCAAATCAAGAAATTGTTGCAAGTAGTATTTCATGAAAATGTACAATTTTGTAAAAATTAGTATAAAACTTTACTAGTTTAAGAAATTTGAGAAACAACAAAATCCTAAAGAATTAAAACGTCTGCTTGCTTGTAGAATATTACAAAAATGTTCCAATTCTAGCATTTTCATGTTGATTCTTATAACACTTTTTAAAATTGACGTAGAATTTCTTAGATTCTGGCAGTTGTGTTTAATTTTTTTGTAGAATTTTGTAGAATTATTCCCGGCAGGGATCGACCTTTTAAATCGAGGAAGTATCTAGGCGAATCTTAATTTTCTCGAGATCGGTCGAAATTGAGAGTTTAGTTCTTCAATTTCATTTGATAGACTGACGGATTCTATCTGAAGCTTTCGCACACGCTTTGGAATTCGCCCGTGCACTCGATAACAAGGATGCAATCTGTCTTTCGAAACCTATCGCGACCGAATGTCGATCGCAGTGTCCACTTTGTCGGGGCTCGTGCCCCCACGTGCGTCGTCCCCGCGTGCGAACCCGGTACAATGCAATTGTCATGTCTTGTAGGGACCAAGACCTGTACGCCGGAACAATTCACGTGCCATTCGGGAAATGGCGAGTGCGTGGCATTAACTTGGATGTGCGACGACAACCCCGACTGTTCGGACGGTTCAGACGAGGCTGAGTGCAGTAAGCTTCTGCACGTGGGCTACTTTTTCCATACGCTTGCACACTTTAGTCTCTCCATTATTTCCCTATTTCTGTATCTTATCGTGTATCGCACGTTACGTCTCGAGGATGAAGGGGTCGGTGGCTACATGTATGTGTCGACTATTAGTCTTTGCACCCACGCATGCAACTCTGTAAAATACATTCTGTATCTTTGATCGTTTCTCTTTTTGCTTGTTTAGAAAAGATATTTCAATTGTCCAAGATATTATTACGAAGCTGTAATTGTATATCCATGAACTCTTCGAGATGCAAATGAATATGTTACTTATATAACATTATAATTTGAGATGTGAATAACTATATACGTATACATTGAATGTATATAAATTATACATTAAATATATAGCTGTGATATTATTTCAGCGAGTCGTAAACTGGATCAATAACTATTGCTGTGCGCTCTATAATTAATTTAATCTTTCATTTTCTTCACGTATCTTTCGGCGTCACCTGTAAGCATTTTATTGCGCATATTATCTCTTGTTTCTCTCAGTCGGAGAATTTCCGCTCGTGTAATACTCGAGACTGCAATTTAATACGTAAATCAATGAATGTCCGAAAAAAATTGTTGCCTCCGAGAACAATTACAACGGTTCAGTTGATGATGGAGTAGCACTTTCTTGGGACGAGTTAGAATGTTTCTTTTTTGTTTCGTTGGTGAAGGTTGCTTGTATAAGGTGCAAGGTGATGGTTTACGTGAACCTGTAAGGGAGAGAATTGTAATGTGGTGGTAAAATGATCGTGGTCACTTTAAGTTGCGCTTTAAATGCGCGCACTTTACAAACAAATTGCACATCTTACGTCGCATCTCTATGTTTTATAAGCGGATCGCAACGAAGTACGAGTTATTTATGCTTGTCTTAGCCGCGATTATCACTGTGTTTATTCGATACTGCGTTTCTGTAGTGCGCTGATTTTCGTCGAGTTTTCTTTCCTTGCTACTTTGCCGGCTGACAACGTAGAGACTCGCAGGAATTGATGGTGGGTGTAAAATCGCGCGAAAAATTTATTAGAAATTTTATAGCGAGGAATCGCTTTTAATTCACTCTTAACGAATTCACGCGCGATATCCTCGTCCGTTTTATCCACAGTTTTTACATAAATCGGCACAAAAGCAATCTTATTCCAATGAAAAATGATCGAATCGGAAATGGATTACCCACGATCCAATTGCTGCGCGCTCTATAATTAATTTAACCTTTTTATTTTCTTCACGTATCTTTGGTGTCACCTGTAAGTATTTTATTACACATATTATCTCTTATTTCTCTCAGTCGGAGAATTTCCGATCGTATAATACTTGAGACTGCAATTTAATGCGTAGCTCTTTTTTTTTTCGTTAAACGTTAGATAAAGTTGTGCCGCATATACCGCTTGCTGGAGTAGGAGATAATTGTCCCGCTTGAAATTACAAGTGATTGCCGGAGAACCACTAATTTTCTGCGAAACTTGTCTCTTCGAAAGCGCATACTGCCGCGATTACAAAATACATAACAGTGTAGCAGAAGAAAACTTAATTTTTTCTCTACGCATAAATACATTTAATTAACGTGTTCCTTCCTAGAGCGGTATTTGCGCACGAGGCGTTAGAGCTGCACGTTTGCATTACTTTTATCATGACGTAGGTCTTCGTGTTCTTGTCTAAATTATATATATCGATACGTGAAAGCCGTGAAATGTATCTGTCAATCAATATTCTATTTCTCGAAATTGCACGGATTGTGCCTTAACAATAATGCACCACTGTTCCCAATATGATCTAAGAGATTCCAATAAGATTCAAGAGTTTATATATATATATTTAAATAATACCATTTTTATATTTTATACCGTGAAATATATGTAGGAGAAATGATTTATATTTGATCATAAATATTAATACTATTATATTTATTATAAAATACCATTAAATAGCATTGTATATTACAAGATAAATGAAATGCAATTTCTTTCCCTTGTAAGGGAAAGCTTTTTTTTTAGAAGTAGAAGTTGTAGTGTAAGATGTATCTAACAAAATTACCTTTTTTAAAAAAGGTACAAAAGAGGCCAAGTATACGCGTAGAAAGAACAAATATATAATGAGCAAAATTTTGGTTAAAAAAAGTACTGAAATCTATCTTTTCTACAAAAAGAATGATATCAAAAAAGTGTTGTAGTGTAAGATGCATTTATACGGAAGAGATATTTCTTAAGATAAATTAAATATATTATATTAATAAATCAAGATTTTTAAAAACTTATTAATTACGGAGGGAAAATTTATTATAAGAATTATAAATTCTTTTTATAAGGAAGTAAGAGGAAATTGGCAGAGAATAATAACACGCAAATGAAAGCGTCTTCGTGATTGTATAATCGTCTGTTATAAAAAATTCATAGCTACTGAGAAGCTAGACAAAGACAAGTTATTGTGAAAGGTTATCGGGTTAGCTGATACTACTACGTTTTAAGTTTGCAGCGTAATACAGTTTATCGAAAAGTAGAGAGAATTATTGAGTCATATTGGGATTCTAAGTCACATTGGGTGCAGTTGTAATGCAGTTATAAAAATCGCGTTGCTTTATAATTATTGTCACAATCTGTTTGTCTCGCTGACAATTAATTTTTATTATTCTATTACTTGCAATTTTTTTTTTCGCGATTTATATATAATAACGTAATTATATTGTGTACAAAACTGAGAAAAATTCTGCCATTTTAAATATCCGGATTAATGGATTAATATTCCTAATCAGGAATTGTTTGAAAAAGCTTCACGTCTCTGTGCTGATCAGATGTCAGTCCCTGTTAAGACGTCAACGTCGCTGTGTGCGAGAATTTCTGTCGCAAGTAAATAAAACGTCGTTCCACTTCTCTCACATGAGAAATCTTTTGCCTCAGACGACACTTGCCGGTCCGACGAGTTTACCTGCACGAACAAGCACTGCATCCAGCAGCTATGGGTCTGTGACAACGACAACGATTGCGGGGACAACAGCGACGAGAAAGGTTGCGGGCCAGTAACGTGTCATCCTGACACTGATTTCGCGTGTTCCGAGAGTTATTGCATAACGTCGCGATGGAGATGCGACGGGGACTACGATTGTCCCGATCGATCCGACGAAATAGGATGCAAGGTACTTCATCTTCATCCTGCCCTCGTCTTAGTATCGGATGGCTGAAAAGATTCGCGCGATTGTTAAGAATAAAGAAACTCGAGAGCAGAAGGAAATGCAGTACAGTTTACGTAATGTCGCATTGCGCTTAGATCTGACGTTTCCTTGCAATTCATTCTTTTAGGATATCCAGAACGGGAAGAAGAGCCACTGCGACAGAGAGTTCGATTGCGACGATGGTGTTACTTGCATCCACCAGACTTGGGTATGCGACGGCGAGAAGGACTGCCCCAATGGCGCGGACGAATCCCCACAGAGATGCCACAATGTGACTTGCAGACCCGATCAATTTCAATGCGAAGATCGACGTTCTTGCATCTCGGGTAATGAAACAGTTAAAGATATAACATTTCTGTAGTAAACTATAATTTGCGTTAAACTTACAATATAACACGACAAAGTAACGAAGAATATTCTCGTTTTGTGGATCAATGGCCATAGTTTACGTGTGAATCGAGGGGGAAACCGCTGAGGGCATTGTGGTGTACAGATTTGCGGCATTACTGGGCATTAATAGGCATTTTGTGGGCATTAGTTTGGGCATTAGGCCTTGCTGGGGCATTATAAAGATAAAATAAGATAATAAGATACAGTAATGCCCACTGGGCATTGATGTACAAGATGTTGGTCAGCGGTTTCCCCCTCGGTGTGAACAGAAGGCGACTATAAAATTAAATTCAGCCCCAATATCTTGTAAAGCTTATTAATTCCATCAATGTAGCTTATTCATCACCAAGATATTGAATTCCCTAAATTAATAAGCTATACAAGACGTATATGATTTTTTTATCATCTCAGATTGAAATAAAGACTCTATCTTTTACCCGATAGTCGCGCAAATCACCCTATAATGCCTCGGATTTTCAACGACTCGTGTGTTTAGGTCATCTGTACTGCAACGGTAAAACCGAGTGCGCCGACGGAAGCGATGAGAAAAATTGCACAAGCAAAATCGTAAGCTGCGATCCGCGAATTCAGTTCGAGTGCAGCGAGGGCTCGTGTATTCCTTTGGAAAACGTTTGCAACAAAAACCCAGATTGCATCGGCTGGGAGGATGAGAGCACCGAGCTCTGCGGCGTGAACGAGTGTGCAAACAACAACGGTGGATGCTCGCAGATTTGCGTCGATTTGCCTATTGGTTACCGATGCGACTGCCACGCGGGCTATAGACTCATCGACAACCGCACGTGCGATGGTACGATATATAAAGTTTTTGGTCTCCAAATGTTAACATATGACTTCTTTAAGGTTTCTGACTTGTCACCGTAACCACATATTGGGTTAGCTCCGCATTGGGAAGATTATTTTATCTTTCAGATATTGACGAGTGCCTGGAGCCGGGCAGCTGTTCTCAGTTTTGCCAGAACGAAAAGGGCAGCTTCAAATGCAGCTGCGCTCCCGGTTATCTTAAAGATCCGCGAAATTCAACGCACTGTAAAGCCGCGGAGGGTCACGCAAGCCTGTTATTTGCCCGTCGACATGACATCCGAAAAGTAGCTCTAGACCGTCAAGAGATGACTGCCATTGTTAACAATACTAAAATGGCAACAGCACTGGACTTTGTCTTCCGCACCGGAATGATTTTCTGGAGCGACATTAGTGAAAAGAAAATTTACAAGTATGTCGTAATTGCCTTACAGTTAAACAAAAATCTCTGTTGCTAAGTTTTATATATTGATTGAATGATGTTTTCAGAGCTCCAATAGACGAAGGAAATGAGCGCACGGTCGTTATCGAAAATGATTTCACCACATCAGATGGACTGGCAGTTGATTGGATTTACAGTCATATTTATTGGACAGACTCAGGGAAAGATACCATTGAATTGGCCAATTTCGAAGGAAATATGAGAAAAACTCTGATACGAGATCGCATTCAGGAGCCTAGAGCGATAGCACTGAATCCACTGGAGGGTTGGATGTTTTGGACAGACTGGAGCGACGAAGCTCGTATTGAACGAGCCGGCATGGATGGCAGTCATCGATCGGTGAGAAACGGAAACTATAATGTTAACTAAAAAGTAGTATTAATATTGTCGAAAAATGTGTAATTTAAACGTAATCATAAAATTTAAGGGATCTCCAGAAATCCGTTTAAAAGGAGCAATTATATTATTATTAAAACAGATTAAATATGTTGCTCGAGCAATTTGCCTTGATTTCTAACAAGAGTCTATTACAGGTGATTGTCGGTAATGATGTCAAGTGGCCTAATGGCTTAACTTTAGACTTGATTGGCAGGAGAGTATACTGGGTAGACGCAAAACTGAATATCATAGGCTCCTGTAATTACGACGGTACTGGCAGACGAACGATCTTGTACTCTCCCGACAGTCTTAGGCATCCCTTCAGTATAACGACTTTCGAAGATTACGTGTACTGGACTGATTGGGATAAGGAAACGATCTTTAAAGCTAATAAATTCACCGGCCAGGAAGTAGAGCCCGTAACATCGATCAGAACGCTCCAGCATCCGATGGTAGTCCATGTATATCACCCTTACAGACAACCTGATGGAATGAATCAATGTCAGGCTGTCAATGGACATTGCAGCCATCTGTGTTTGCCCGCGCCTAAAATCAATTCTAGATCACCACTGTTGTCGTGCGCCTGTCCTGACGGCTTACGGTTATTACCCGATGGATTGATGTGCGTGGAAAATGGTGAGTCAGTCATAGGGAAGCATATAGCGATTGACGAATGACCTTCCAGTGCTGAGCTACTACGCAATCTTCAACTGCCTCGTCACAGTCAATTTGTGAGAAATAAGTGTGCCAATTGTTCTATAATTACAATGTAATTTTAGCATAATGTGACGCTTTTAAATTATACAAAAGTAATTTTTTAAATATTCGTGATGGACATCGTATAAAAATGAATTACAAAATCTTTTTCTAAATGAACAAATTAGTTTAATTAATAGACAGTCGCGGAAAGCTGTTCGTCAATTTATTGTACATCTGTTGTATTATAGATCTGCAATATACATATCGCTCATTTGCTGCAACAATGACTTAACTAAAAAATTATGCCAATACGGTATTTTAAAATTCTTGTACAAAGCTATAACAATTTAAAACTTTAATCGTGTCTCCTGAAAAATCACAATTTTTGAGTTATGTCATTGTTGTAGCAAATGAGCGATATAGTACATGACGAGAATGAAATAATTCTCAGATAGCATTGCATGTCGTTGGCGCATTCTAATTTATTAATGCTTATGCAAAAAGGATGCTCAAAATGTCATTTTTGTTTCTATTATATTTAGATAATTACATTTTTATACATTCGATTAGTTAATTATTATGCTCATAAGCTCACAGCTCATGCTCATTATACAGATAACGCTCATACATTAATCTCATGATGTCTCATGGAACAGTTGCTGCGCAATAATAAGTCATCTGGCATGATCATTCTTATACATATTAAAACAGTATGATGAGAACGTGCAAGTGCTTGGATGCAAGAAAGTTATGAAAAAAAACCGCGCGTGTATTATTAGTGTACAAAGTTGATCATTTAGGATATATGGAAACTTTTAATTTTTTTTATTAATGTCCGACAGTTGCTCGACGATGTTATGAGCTCATTATTTATGTTGTATCATTTATTTGCATTCGTGTTGCATGAATTTGGGATATTCCAGTTACTACGACCATAGCGCCGTCCACGCAAGCACCCATGAAGCCGTTCCAGAGGCTCGAGCCTCTGAATGTTACAACGACTGCCAGTAAGTTTGGTTGGATGATATTTTTTAATACGCGCTGATCCTTCTGGGATATAGGTATTAAGGGTTTATCTAATTGTACTACCATATAGAATTAATCATTTGACGTCTATTTCACGTCTAACAAGGGTGTTTCTCATTCTTGGGATACATTTTATACTGGCTTTCATAAAGGGTGCTTACTAGCAATGTACACAAGCGACATTGTGCAACACAGTGTGCGTAACCAGCTTTCCAACCATGACATAAGTCGACACAATCGTACGCAGCTAAAAAGCTAAATTCAATTGTGTTGTCTCTCCACGAGTACTAACATTTTTATCACTTATTTTTCTATAGATAGTCAAAAGTTTTCAGCTGTTGAACGGGCGTACAAACGGGTATATAAGAAATCATTGCTTGCACAAAAAATTTCTTAAAGTTTATAGTTTCGAGTAGATTTTCTGGCTCTTTCTCTCTGTCTAAAGATTCTTCCCGTTAATGAAGAAAATATTCTTCTGAACTATGGATGGTGTTTCATACATACTTTATTTTATTATTTGTCACAAAGACAATATGAATATACTATTTCGTTATTTATTAAAATTAATATAAACTTAATAATTATATATTACAGCAGTAGAAGGATTTATATGTAAACACGTCATATTTTCGGATGTAGCCCTAGTAAAATAACTGCTCTGCACACTGGCGGTAAAACAAAAAGCTAAACAGTGTTTCATTGTTTGAAAGTACCCTTTATTATTCAAGAGTAAAATACTGAATGCTGAATTAAAAACAATTTTTTTAAATGGATTTGCTATATTAAGTTATAGACATTAAATCTACATCACAACTCTTTATTTAGTGGGATTTGATATTTCATATATGTATATATATTTATATGAAACAATTTAAAGTCAATTTTTCCTGAACAAATACATCAGAAAATTAATTTGCAATCCAAAGATTGTTTTCCGGCAATTAAACTTTAGAAATTCAGAAATTTTACTTTTTATTTAAATAATTATTTAATTAAATCTTAATTAATCCGTGATTTGAGTTACAAATCGTATGTATAAAATAGAAAATTTAATTTTTCTAAATAATGATCGCTTTGCATTTTTTAAACAAAAATTTGACTTTATGTTCATTGAATAATCTGTAAATAACAAGTTATTTGTTCAATCTAAAGCATTTTATATATGGCTTATTGTTACATGTTCAATAACAAATTTGTTCGATTAAAATGCATTATTTAATTCTTTATTTAAAAGAAGTACCTTATAAATTATCTTGTAGACTTTTATATAAAATTGTAGAGATATGATTACACATATAATGTTATTTTGCATAATATGAATGTGCCCTATGCATGTATTGTTTTCTTAAAAATGTGCAATTTTTTAATAGCCGAGTTAGTGTTTTCTAGATCTAGATAGATTTGCTCTATTTCTTTTAATTATGACAATTGTATATATCACTACAAAAATTTACTAAATTTTTACTAATTGTATTAACTCTGCTACAGTAATGTGAATGTGCTGGAATGGAAACAGATTTTTGGAATCTCTTTGTATCAAACATCAAATATATTAATTTATGTTTTGGAATTTTCACATCGTGTATGGTATTTCTAGATCCGCTATCCTCAGCAGATGCAGACGGAAAGGGGAATTCAACGGCTGAATCAACAGATCCTGGTTTAGTCGCCGGCATCGTGATAGGCGTTGTGTCCTTAGGACTGTTATTACTTGCACTTGTTGCAGTGCTATGCTACAGGCATTATCTTCATCGTAATGTTACTAGCATGAACTTCGATAATCCCGTCTACAGGAAGACTACAGAGGATCAATTTAGTCTTGAGAAAAACAGATTCCCACTTCCTGCAGCTACAGTTGGAGAGGAGGTAAAAGTGTCAATTACTTTAATTAATTTTTACTTAAACGATTTTTCTTATGGATTATGGAAAATATCACAAATACTTTGGATGAGATTTCAGAATAGTTTTTATGAAATTTTTTTATTGTTTCAGGCTCAAGAACCATTGACAAGTCCTGGAACAAACGATTATGTTTAAGGCTCAGTCTGTCAATATAAAGGATTTAACAGGCTACTGAAGTACTATATCGACCAAGTGATAAAACCATGTAAAGAAAGATGAGGTATTTGCGTTGAAAGAGCCTGTCCAAACGCATCATGCCTGCGCTCGCTCGCAAGCCTGCCAACCAACTGTGATTATGTTAATTTTTTTTGTATCTATTTCTTTACAAACTTTAGCACTTTGTCACTCAAATGTGTGTATATTATGCGTGCAACATTTAGATTTGCTCTAGGACGTAAAGGGAGAAATATCTAAAGGAACTGTTGCCAAATAAGCGATCCTCTCTTCATGTAGCCAAATAGTTTGATAAGAGCTTAAGATTCCTACTTAACATTTTCCCTATTTAGTTAAGCAACATATAATTTGTAATATAGTACTTTTTAGATCAATTTAGCATGGCCTGGCGCACGTAGCGTACGATTTTACATACGCTATGTATATGTAAGAATATAAACTTGTTATTGTTTATTTATTCAGAGATATGCAATGGTCACTTTTTTTTAATAGAGTTTCTACGCGAGATATTACTTTTTTGAGTAATATCTTACAGGAGTCATATGTAAATAATGCGAAAAATCTCAATCGTGTATCATTAAAATTATTAAAAAATTACTACACGTGGTGTTAAAATGCAATATGAAAGTTATAACAATTCAATGCATGCTGTGAACACACTATCATCCGAAAGCGGAGTAAGAGGCTATAATTATTATTTTCTCTCATCTTGAATTATTGTACCTCTCTGTTTTTGTTATGTAAAAAAAGAAAAACCACTTTTTATAAAAGGCACATACATTCAATATGTATATAATATATATATAACCATGTTCTTTTATTATTATATATTGTAGTTTTCTCTGTAATTTAGATCTAAGAGTATATTTATACATAATCCGCTCCATGTTAATTATTAAAAAAGAAAGTTGAAAACTGCGAGTTGATAAAAAAATATATGCTCAGAAGAAATTTCTCCTTTTATGTCTGCATAACGCGTACAATGCCATGACATATGCATAGATATATGTCGGGACTCTCCAGCAACTATCTGTATATTGATGGGCGGTCCATATCACGAAAAAATCGCTCTATTTACAAACATTATACTATCGTTTATGTAGTAAAACAGAAAGAGAGCACTGTAACGACTTGAGCTCAATGACAGTAAGTGTGACTGTGCGTTTGTTAAAAGGGAACTGTTGTCAAGTACTTCAATCAATCTACTAAAGAAATCAGTGTATTTGTATAGAATTATTGCATCGGGCTTAAGAGTTTTATTTACTACATAAGTATCAATATGTATGTGTATATATGTATGTACAAAGTGTAGCAAAAATTAGGTATAAAAACGCTGCAACAGAAAATTAGTGAAAAATTAAGCAATGAAAATTTACTTCTTGAAAAAAACTATTTTAAGCAGCAGGTTCTTAATCATAAGCTTGAAACATTGAATAAAATTTCATTCTGCTAGGATTCGAGAAATTATTAATACGTCATGCAATTGTTTAACTTCTTGAATTAAATTTCAAATTGGGTGTTCAATTTTGTATTTAAAAAAAACACTATTGCTTTTATTATTAAATTTATGTAAATGTCTGCTGAAGTATTTTTATACTTGACTTCTGTGACGCTCTGTATATATGTAAAGGATATCCTAGTAAAGATATGTACCAGTACTGTAAGAACCTTACAACGATAATAACAATTTATTTAAAACTTTGTTATAATTTGCTATAATACACTTCATGTCGCGACTTTTTGCAGTCTTTCCATTTTCGCTAGCAATAAACTACTCTTTGTTTTTTATAAATAATCACGCGCTCATGTTCATGTATTCTTAGAGAAAATATTGATTAGAATTCACTAAATATTTTTAGAACATTCCAAACAATCTAGGTTACATCCTGATAGCAAAGAGGAAGAAGAATTTAAAATTATACATAATGGATACAATTATCTCATAAATATTACAATATTAAAATTGTATTTGTAACTGAAAATTGAAAAGGAGCGATTGTTTATTAATTGTGGCATTTGTGTTATCTTTAATTCTTAATTTAATTAATTCTTTAATTATATTTCCGCCTAGAGAAAGGTGTCTCGTAGCACTAGTGATTCATGTAATTTTTTTGGAATGTCCTACATATATATATATATATATACACATATGTGCATATTTATAATATAATATTACTATATTAAAAATGATTAAATGTGAAAAAACATTTTATTATATAAGATTATTAACAAATATTAGATTGGTAAATAGAGCTGTGTACGGTTGACAGATAGCGGATTGTGCTCACAAAAATTGTGCCAACAGTTTCACGCTTTTAGTGAAACAAATTAATTTACAAGTCAATAATTTACATACACCTTATCTGGTCTTATTTCTATGGGACCAAGAAATTTTGTACATGAGATATAAGTAATGTTTCCAATTTTCATTCTTTGTATAAAGATTATATAGACTATCTATATAACATTGAACGATTGCCAAATATGAAGAAGAAACTGAAATTGAAAGTTATACATAACTTAATAATTTTTGTAAGAAAATTTACGTATATTTATAATTTGTCAATATTGAACTTCTACCTTGATTAATGAATATCTTTTTATATTGTGCCAAACCATTTCTACTGATTCCTCCTATCTACGACCAGCTGTCTGTTAACAGGAACATGGTACAATTGTAAGTGCAAGAAAGCACAGTCCAAAATTAAGATAGAGGCTTGGTGGTAATTTTAATCAAAAATAGCAGTATGTGTGTGCGTGTGTGTGTGGTGAGAATTGCAATTAACTGTGTAAGACGTAAAGGTATAACTTGTCCTAGCCAATTTATCCGCCAAAATCGTGTCAAACGTTATTTCTATGCAACGTATGTATATGTACATATATGCAATTGAATTCTAAAATAGATCATCAAGCGTCGTAGATATATTCTTGGACCAGTTTGAAATTGATCTTTTTTTCGTAAAAAAACATCCAAATGTTAATAATTCTTGATTTATAAAATTTAGAAGCTTCTTTCTAAATTAAATTTCTGAGAAAAAATTCAAATACATGAAATCGTACTCTCTGTTTAATTATAAAATATAATATAATTTAAGGAATTTAAATTTGTATCTCTCTCTAAGTTATTATCCAGTAATTTACATTTTATATACGAAAGAGACATAAGGAACAAGCCATAGTTAATTAAATGTATTTTAAAGAACAAAGAAATAATTCCACTTATTAAAGCATAATTTGTCTACGAAATTTGGTAATTTATTTTATAATCATTCTGTATGCATATACAAGGTGAATCGATGTTTGTGTCTGAAATATTTTTGTTATTTTTAATGATATATGAAAACTTTTAACGATAAATCGCACGATGTAGAAAAGAATATACCCACAGATCTATAACTATAACAATTCAAAATGATGTCAAAAGATATGAAAATACTTGACACTTCTTTATGTGAAACTATATGAATTTTCGTACCTAAATTTTTTCATTATTCATTATTTACATAAAATATTTCAACTGATATAAGAAGTACGTTTGAATAAAGATTTGGTTACAAATAATTTAGTCGCCTGCGTAAAAACGGCACTTTTTATCGATTAAGATATGACCTTATTAAGATTGAAATAATCGAATACGTTAAACTAAAATACGACGCGTGCGTTGCGCTCACCGTTTATCCCCGTTTAATCTTCAAAAACTCCACGTGCAAAAAATTGAAGTAATTTTCATACACTGTGTTAATCTTAGGAATTCTTATATTTCTTGAAGACAACAAAATTGTTTCAGATGCAACGTTTAGAGATGATGAATCACTCTGTATAGATACATGAGGTATGTACACACTCGCGCGTACGTAAATATACTTTAAAAGAAATATATATAAATATATAATTTATTATAATGATTGTATAAATAAAGTATACAAACTAAATTGCAGTAATGCCACGTTATTATCACACCTATGGAAGATTGTGAAATGTAAAATTTGTAAATAAGCCTATTTGAAAATATAAATAGTGAATCATTTCTTCATCGAGTTGTGAATCTTCCCAAGCTCTTAAAAGAGGTATGCAATAATGAACAATGCTGGAATATTATTATATAATTCCAACTAACTAGATTAGCGAATCTCCAAATACAATGTCACACTTGCTACAGATTAATACTAGTTTTTATTACAGGTTTCAAGAATACAATAAGGAAGATATGCAGAAATTATAAAAATACCTTTATTTTTTTCTTCACTACAAACTTTACAATGTTATTAGTAACGTATTAATTTGTGTTATTATACAATTTCATTAGAAATAGAACTGAGTATTTAACAAACGAATACTTTATCAAATTGATAGAGGTAAAGGTAAGAGTGGCAAATAAAAATCACAAAATTTTTCTTCTCACAATGCGAATTGTATGTACATAATATATTACCGTCTATTCAATATTAACATTTAGTCGCGAAAATATTACTAAACATACATTAACACACTCATATAACTCGTTTTACAATATTATAAATTAATACAAATTATTCCCATCGTTGTACGTTACTTGCACATATTTTATTCCGCATTACTTTATATGCAATTCAATTTTTTTTCTGTTCTAATATACTTTGTCACATTTGAAAGAAAACTCTCTTCTGAAAACTATTTTCAATCTTGTCTGGATTTTAAACACACTTTAATATCATGTTGAACAAAATCGTTGTTATTTAAAATAAATTAGTTTGTCGGACTAGTGTTTCTACTTCCCTTTACATTTTGTTTTGTACATGAAGTAAACTTTATATGTGTATTATCTTACATCATTGATTTAATGTATAAATTATTAAAGCTCGTACATATATATTGTGGACCTACATCCTAAAATTTACTCGTTCGTGGCAGTTTTGCGCAAGACCGGTACCAAAGCAGATTTGAATAATCACGGAAACCAGAAGAATCCTAATAACCCAAAATATAAACCCGGTACCAAAGCAGATTTGGATAATCACGGAAACCAGAAGAATCCTAATAACCAAATAACAAAATATATGAAAGCCAAAAAGTAAACATGTATTCATGTCTTACAAAAATGGCATTGTACTTGTAATATACGTGCCTTAAATATATGTGACATGATATTTTAATATTGTAAAATGTTTTATGTATTTTTTTCTTTTTTACATTGATTATGTGTACACCAGGAATCACCGATGTCTTCCCATATGAATTTAGGCTTGTAGAACACACACATTTTTCATGTAGATGCTCGTTTTCGTGTGATGTGTGCACAAATTCACGTGGGAAGGAAGACCGGTACCAAAGCAGATTTGAATAATCACGGAAACCAGAAGAATCCTAATAACCCAAAATATAAACCCGGTACCAAAGCAGATTTGGATAATCACGGAAACCAGAAGAATCCTAATAACCAAATAACAAAATATATGAAAGCCAAAAAGTAAACATGTATTCATGTCTTACAAAAATGGCATTGTACTTGTAATATACGTGCCTTAAATATATGTGACATGATATTTTAATATTGTAAAATGTTTTATGTATTTTTTTCTTTTTTACATTGATTATGTGTACACCAGGAATCACCGATGCCCTCCCATATGAATTTAGGCTTGTAGAACACACATTTTTCATGTAGATGCTCGTTTTCGTGTGATGTGTGCACAAATTCACGTGGGAAGGTATCAGTGATTCCTAGTGCACATATATATGCACGTGTCCCTTGAAAATATATAAGTTTTGCGAAGCCACCGTTTTTGGAAATGAAATTTAACAAACTTGAACTTTAATTTAACTAATCTAATATTGTCCTCCTATATTAAAGGTCTATGAGATTAACGTCCCTCGTTATCGTGTTCAATGTAGGCGCGACCGACGTTGTGAGAGAACGTACGTGAGATCTGAAGCTGGTGGCCGGCTCCCAGGCCTCGTCCCGCACCACACCCTGATTTCTAGGATACATGAGCAACGGGTCCTTCCCCGTTTCCTTGCACAGTCTTTCTTGCAGCGTGATCAGGCGAGATCTCCAGTACCCGTAGCTCGCCTGCTTAAGCGCGCTGACCCACTGTTCGACCTGGGACTCGGACCGGCCGCTCAGTATGTGCCGCTTGTCCAGCTCGTCGCGGAACGAGATGCTGAAGGCAAACGCCCCCTCGGATGAATTATCTATATTTATACTGCAATTCTCTAGAACGATGACACCAGCCGGCTGCCTCCTGTCGATCTGCCCCAGGTCGTTGATGTTGAAGTAAAACAGCAGATTGTACCGCAGCTTGAACCACTTCTCTTTAAACACTGGAAGCAAATGCGGGAAACACAGGTATTAGATGCTGTTTAGTTTAATCGCCAACAATCGCAAATACACCTTGGATGTCCCCCTTCAACTGAAACTAAATTGAGGCCGGAAAGTAACAATTTTAGCAATGTAAAACTAAGGAAATTAATTGTTCATTCCTTGTCGAGGTATACATTTTTTTTTATCAAATATCCGGCAACAGACTCCCACTGCCTTTCCTTAATTTCCTCAGTAACAATTTTGTAATCTAATCGGACTGTTATAAACATTGTGTTTCCCTCTTCGTTTTGATACAGAAAGACTCGCTCCAAGTATCTCGGACGCGCTACAATTACTTGACACGACCAGAGCTCTCTTTAGAACAGTTTGACCATCTTCCAGGCGTAATTTTACTTGCGATTGGCGTCGTTCTATTTCCTCGAGACTCCAGAGTCGTCTCGAGGGCGGCGATAGCGACTGAAAAAAATCGCGTCTGATAACAAGACCGCACGAGCCGAGGGAAAGTACACGAAACGACGGCAGCGCACGACGATCCGCGATATTTATCTACGACAGACCCGGCGGTCACGCGTGATAATTACACGTCTGTAAACCGCACCACCTCGCGAGAGCCTGCCAGGCGGGCAGGTGACAGGTGAGGGCAGGTTAGGGGCGACTCGTCGCGTTACGTAAAACGCAGACTCGGCGTACTCGCCACGCACTAAACCAACCTGACTTAGGGGCCCGCTTGTGATTCAGACGTCCCTCCAGGTCCGCGGGTCCGAAGCTCGCCTCCGCGAGCTCCCTGTCATTGAATCTCATGTCCGAGCCCCGAGGTCCGGGTACGACGACGCCCCGCGTGTGGTGCGCGCCACGTACGGTCACAGGGGCTGCCGCGCCGCCGCGACGGCACGCACCATCCTCGCCTCGTCAATCGCGTTAATCGCGCGGCATGTCAGGCCCGCGATGCTCGTCTCCCACGTTAATTGACGGGCGGCGCGCGAGCGCGCGCTCTCGCTCTCTCTCTCTCTCTCTCTCTGTCTGTCTGTCTCTCTCTCTCTCGCTTCACGCTGATTGATCTTGTATGTAATCGCGCGAGACGGGGAAAAACGGGTCCTCGGCTCGGGGGAAAAGTGTCCGTCGCGCGCGACCCCAGGCTCGGTCGAACGGGTCGGTCGCACCGCGTCGTAGAAACTGGTACGAACTAACAGCTTCGAGACAGCTCGCGCCGAAGTCGAGGAAGGCTCCCGCGCGATCTCCTATTTTCCGATCGGCGACGCATCGGCGCGTCTCGATTCAGTCGGTTCGAATCGCACTCGGTGCTCCACGCGCGGGTGGGGCAGCTTGGCGTTGATTCGCGGAAGAGCCCGACGAGCGGGCGCGAAAACGAGACGTCGCCGTGTTCCGCGAGAAACGAACGGTTGCCGAAAATTACGCGCGTCGGTTCCCCTCGATTCTTCCTTTCGGTTGTTAGAGGTGACTGGATGACGTCAGCGAACTACCGGTTTAATTGAATCGACTGACTCGAGTAGCCCGCGGCTTTATCAACTCCCGCGGTTTTATATCGAACTTAGCGTTATCAATCGTTTTTTTTCTGCCCGGCGCGTGCGAGAAGGAAGATTAGATTAGAGAGGCGGAATCGTGTAGCCGAAGGTCCGCACCGATTGATTTGAGGCGCGATCGTGAATCTCTTCCTCTAGTGCGAACTCGTCAAAAGTGAACAATTTCATCGATGAATATTGAAATCTTCAATTAAAACATTTTTCACTTTTCGCGAGTTCACACTACAGCCGGGCTGCTTTCGCGAGAAAATCAAAATGATCCTGTGCTATGATTGGTCGAATCTGGAATTTCAATGAACAAAATTTTAATGTGGATGCTATGAAATTTCGGGGCTGCTTTCGCGAGAAAATCAAAATGATTCGGATTAAAATGACCTTGTGCTACGATTGGTCAAATCTGGAATTTCATTGAATAAAATTTCAATGCGATGCTAGGAAATTTCAGATTTGACCAATCGTAGCACAAGGTCATTTTAATCTGGATCATTTTGATCTTCTCGCGAAAGCAACCGATATTCACTGCCAGTACTGAAACTCTATGGTTTACGTTAAGCCCGTATCAGACTACGGATTGAGACTGGGATTAGATTGAAATTTGACCAATCAGAGTAAAAGTTACTCAACTTGAGATTAGTAAACTTTACTGTGATTGGTTAAATTTCAATCTAATCCTAATCCCAATCCGTAGTCTGATACGGACTTTACGTATACTATACATTTTCAGTACTGACAGTGAATATTGGAACGCAGCCAAAGTATTAAGGCCTGTGTCCACGATGCTAGGGCTTGGTCCAAGTTCTAGTTTCGAGAAATGTGTAGCCAATCACCTTGCAGTTTTTCCATAGGAGATGCAAGTTGATTGGCTACATATTTTTCAAAACTAAAAACGCGCACACACATGTGCGGGGTATTCCACGCATAATACTTGTTAAAATAAGACATTTTATATATATTATTATATTTTGGGGAAATTTTTTCAAAATATGATAAATTTGGGGAAAATTCATGGACAAGTTGGGAAACTTCAGCTTTAACCATCTGGCAACACTGTCTCCTGCACATTACTCAAGACAGGACCACAGAACACGTTCGACTATAAACAATAAGCGCGAGATTGTCCGTGAACCCGTTTATACGTATACAAGCCGTCGATGACATCGGGGGACGTTTTGTTTCCGTATGCTTTCGTCTCGACTTAACTGTAGACATTTCATACGCATAGATTACATCAGACATACAAGGTAAATGCATAGACATATAAAAGATAGACTGCTTATGAGGCAGTGGAACCCTAGGTGGGGGCATCCCCCTGAGGGAAAAGGACAACATGAATTTATTTGGGTATCTGTCTTCCTCTAGTGGACGTGATCTGAAGGCGATCACGTGTTCACGCCCACGTGATCACGTACACTAGAAGAAGATAGATACCCAAATAAATTATTGGTGTTGTCCCTTTCCCTCAGGAGGACATGCCCCACTACCTCATAAGCAGTCTATCTTTTATATGCCTATGGGTAAATGTGAGGGACGTAGAGTTTGGTAGAGTTCCCGAGATCGACATCAATATTTCAGAGCCAATCAGGATACGCTCTTAGTCCCAGTCTACAATAGATGATTTAAGCCCTAAGCTTTAAG